ACCCTCCCCCCCCCCCCCCCCCCCTTAGGGTTAGGTCAAGCTTAGCTGTCTGCGCCTCTCTTTCCGTACTTGCTAGAGATTAACACAATCTTAAGCAATGTAATAATTATTGTGGTACTAACAATCATAATCAACTTTATTAAACCCCACTTTGACAGTAGGGTTCTCTTTCTCAAAAGCAAAACTATAGTACTACTATTTTTGTTTTTTTTGTTTTTTTTTTAAAAGGGAGACACTTCAAGATTGCCTGTAGTGTAATGCTGACGAGATCAAAACCCTAGTTAGCTCTAATCACTCTAACATCATCACAGCTTAATCGGATGGCTGCATGTGATCACTAATTTTTAACCGTCGACATGATTTCTAATACTGTACTATCAAGAAATGCACCGTAGAAAAAGTGGACTGTAAATTCCGCGACATCCATCTGTGTGTAGTAGCTAAAGAGCATCGAACCGGGGCACAGCGCAGGTGTATTATATAGGAAGGCACAGATGCAATGATACCTGGAGTGAAAAATAGAAAGGGGACTAGGGTTATTGCTATGTGCAATGTAAATGTAACTGGGGCGAGGACGTTTGTCTGCTGGGATGGGGCTAGGAGTACAGAATCTGATATGTCAAATCATGCAGTCTGTCTTTTGGATCTATGCGGTGATGTGTGTGTGGGGCATCTGTGTCTCAAGAAGTGTATGTATATCCTGATAGGGTTGTCATGTCACACGCATATAATGCATATAGATATACACAATAATAATGGGTACATATGTCTATAAAGTTTGTAGTGATTTAATACCAGTGGAAAATATTAGACAAGAAAAATAAACAAGAGCTAGCTGTTGCCTCTGGTCATCTGTAGAAGCAGAAGCTGCTGAAAAGGGCAGAAAGAGACAAAGAGGGTCAGCCAGGCAGTAGCGACACAACATTTTCTCGTTTCCAACATCAATGCTGGAGATACTTTTGAGATTTCCCACTCCATGCGTATTGCAATACAAAAGATATATCATGATAAGACCTTACCCCCCCTCTCCCTCCTCATCTGGGCCCATTACCCTCTCTAAATCTTCATTCATATGGATCAAGCTATCTATCTCTGTCTGTCTTCGTAGTTGTTTAGCACTCGATGTCTTAACTGTCATTTTTCATATTTTCACGAACGCTTGGAATCTTCTTCCTTGTGATAAAACGCAATTGTAAACGGGCTTGAAGGTTCCGATGGTTTTAAATTGTCTGTTGTTAATCTTTCATGATTGCATCATCATCATCATCACAATGACGTACCAAACTTAACAGCCTTGTTTATAGATTGGGACAAAGTTAAGTTTAAATTAATTAATTAATATGATAATGTCAAACAACACTACTAAAATTAAGATAATCTTCAAATTAGATTTGGAAGATGTTGTTTGAGCTAAATTCGGAATTAATTTCTTTTTTTTTTATTTCTGGATTACTAGTTTGATTTTGAATTTTATGTTATTTTTTCTTTTTATTAATATTCTAGTTTTAATTTTCTATTGGCCTATATAACAAATTCTAAACCTTTTAAAAAAGGCAAAACGCTTAGAAAAAATTCAATAACAAAATATAATATAAGGTTCTTGTTGCTGACATCCTTTTCAGCAAAATTATATCTGCAAGTCTCACGTTTACACCATAAATTATCACTAAATTGAAACATAAAAAGCAAGCTAAGCTTCCAATATCACACCACTCTTTTGTAATTTTTAATGACTTTTCAATTTTTCTTATGTTCTCCTTTGAAAACTATGCGACTTGCACTTATTAGAAAGCAGAATTGTTTTAGATGGAAGCTGGGTTCATCAACCCTTTATTATATCTAACAATAGGAATTGTGTAAAAAAAATTAATTTGATGAAAATATTCTTAATATTTAAAAAATGTAATGGCTAATATATATATATATATATATAAACCCTTTATTATATCTAACAATAGGAATTGTGTAAAAAAAATTAATTTGATGAAAATATTCTTAATATTTAAAAAATGTAATGGCTAATATATATATATATATATATATATATATATATTATTCTATTAATATTATAAATCCCACGACTTATATTATATATAACCTCTTCGACAATAATTTCCTACAATATCTACTTCTCTTGTGTGCCTTTCTTTTGAGTTGTATGCAACACTAATTTTCATGTACCTTGTACACATAAAATACGTTCTCTAGCATACTAATATTCATCTTCTTAGCTTATTAATTATAGTTTATGCCCAAATCACGAAGATCAGTTTTTTATTTTTAACAATCCCAACGTTTCTTAGCTTAATATTTTTCTTCTTCTCTTTCACTTTATCTGACTCCATCTAGTAATAGCGATCTCTTGAAACCCCTCTTTCCAAAGATTTTTCTCTCTCTTGAAACTCTTACTGCCATTTATTTGAATTAACTGAAGGTTTGTATAATAAAATCATAACACATTAACGAACAATCCAAATAATATATTGCAATAGTATAAAATTATTCATCTTGCTTCACCTAATAATTTAAGTTTTATGATATATTATTAGAATTTTAATAATCGAATAGTTATAAGTTATTATATCTAATTATATTAATAAAATTAAGTATAAAATAGAATGAGGCATACATAAGTTTCAATCTCAAGTTTAAAAAAACTTTTATTTAAAAGAACATGTTAATAAAAATAACATAAAGTCTTTCTTCAAGCTTCAACCAACAACTTAAGTTTTTGATTTAAAATATTTATTTGATATAATAGTAAATCTTTAAGGATTAAATGATTACTATTTTTACTACACACTCATTTAGATTATTATTTTTTTTACAAATGATGATGATTGGATTTTTCATAAATAATGATATTAAATATTGGTATTAAATTTATATTTATATTTAGAAAATATAAATACAAAAAACCCAAATTTATCAAGAAAAAATGTCTATCCATACTATTTTTTTTTTATAAAATGACTTTTATGTGCATTTAAGTAATTTCCTCCAAAAAATATTATTTAAAAAAATACCAAGTTAATTAAAATTATGAAAATTCTTAATTTTATATACTTCTTGTTGTTTATTTGAATCAATTTGGAAAAGAAAATCACCACTAACCATCTGCCTCAAAACCACAAGGAATTCTTAAATTTGCCTTTTCATTTAGGAAAGTGCAAAAAGGCACAAAGGCTCAACAACCGTTTCTTTTACCCTTCCCTTTCCTAATAAAATCAACTTTCTCTTTAGTGCCTTTCTTCCAAATCAACCATCTTTTTGGAAGTGACTTGACCTGTGTTTATGAATCATGAAATTGATTATATATATATATATATATATAAAAAGAAGGAAACTTCTTGGAATGATCCTTATTCCCCAAATTCAAATCGTGTCCTAGAATTTGATTGATGTGAGATTTTCTTTGATATTCGCTCTTATAATTAAAAATAGAAGGTGAAGTCTTGATCAACTTAATTTGAGTCTTGTCATTGTCGCCTTAAGAGCAAAAAGTCAAATATTCATAACTCAATTAATGAGATTAATATTCTTATTAGCTGTACTTAGTGATTAGAACACACACAAAAAGAAAAGAAGCTGATATTGGATTATTGCACTGTTTTTATTTTTATTGCCTTCCATGATTCTTTAATTCTACAAAGTGAGGTGGGTGAGCCGTCTATTCATCCATTCTATTTCGATGAAAATTGGAAATGAAAAAGTAAAGTGGAACATTATTATTAAACTGAAATGTTTTAAATATATCATATTTTCTTTCTACGTAAAAACAAACAAAACTACAAAAGAAAGGAAGATGATGAAAGAAGATGAAACAGGGAAGAACAATCACCATGATACATGGACCAATATAGGCTGCCAGAATTAATGATATGTACTTGCATCTAATAACATTACACAAGAACAAAAAGTACAACAAAAATACAACAAAAATAACAATAATTAAAATAAAAAATATAAAAAATACAAAGACAAAGAAAGGAAAATAC